TGGGTAGACCCACCACAAGGTTATATGAAGAGGCACAATGTAAAGTCATATGAAAATTATCAGAGATTGATCTACATAAGAAGCATGGACCGGGTATGAAAAACTCATCAGTATCATACCTAGAAACGACTCATTTAAAACCCCAGCTATGTAAGCAGATCAGGGAATGTCTAGGAAGACGTGATTAGGTTTATCCCTTTTATTTCTTTATGGCTTGTGGATTCCTCTGTGCTAACCCCAGGTGCTTTTGTTTTGCTTGTAACCTTTAAGCTGGACCTCAAGAAAGCTATTCTTGGTGCTTAATCCTTGTAGTTGCTCTTTTAAAACCTAGCAATAGCCTGAGTTCCCAGATGTATTTTCTTTCTTTTTTTTTTTGTTAATAAAATTTACCTTTTTTAACAACAGAATTGGATTTTTGTGTCTTCAGAGGTTTCTGCAGAGGTTGTTTAATTAGCTGGTGGCAACAGCTGATTTCTGTTTTTTCCTTTCTCAGCTCTTCCCCGGAGGGGAGTGTGAAAGGGCTTGAGGGTCCCCCATAGCAAGGAATTTCCAAGTGCTCCTTCCTGGGCTCCCAAAGGGGTTCTGCACTTGGGTGGTGGCAGCATCTACCCATCCAAGGTCAGAGAAAAGCTGTAACCGTGGAAGTTTAATACAAGGCTGGAGTGGCCAGTGATTAATTTTTAGAATCCTTGCGGGCCCCCACCTTCTGCACTCAAAGTGCTCGAGTGGGGAATCAGCCTTGACAACCTCCATTAAGTCACCACCACAGCAGCCACAATTAGTGACCAAAAGGCAACGGAATCCAGGGGAGTGGGGATGGAAACATGAGGGAGCAGCTTCCAGGGGTTCTCCTAGACAGGGTCCAGCTGTGGGCGAGACTGGGGTGTGCCCCATGGCTGGGTAGCCGCGAGGGCCCCCATCCCCGTGGGCTGGGATGCAGGGGGAGGTCGGCAGGATATGCAGCAATGACCATGCATCCAGAGCTTTAGTGGCATGAGAGATCTGCCCTCTGCTGACTGTGTGGATGGCCCAGGAGGAAAGAGGACCAGGGGGTGACACGGATCCCAGTCACAGAGGAATCTGTTGCTGCCAAGGGGCTGAGAGAAGGAAGAAAAGTCTGCATGGAGAGAGAGGAGCTCCCTTGGGGCAGCCCCGGCCCCATCACAAGCTGGGGGCTGGGAGCAGCACCACGACCCAACCACCTTTAGTGGCGCTGACTCAACAGCTCCAAGAGACGCCTGCTTGAAACACCCAACGATGCAGATGCTGCGACCAGGCAGGTCCGAGATTGGGGTTCCTAGGTGCTACCACGATATGCCTTCTCCTCCTTGGCTGGTGCACCTGGAAGATAACAGCTCACTACTGGGGCTAGCGATGCTGGAGGAGATCTGCGTCATGGTGCTGATGAACCAGAGTTCAAGTCCACCAAGCGGGGGTTACACCAGACAGGTGGGGTCCTGGGAGGCTTATGCTGCTTCCTTGGGGCCATGAAGGTGGGGGAGGGGACAGAAGAGCCTCAGAGTTGCCCTCAAGGGGCCCGGTGTGGGTGCTGGGGATGCCAGGCTGGGCCCCTTCAGAGTAGCACCCAGCACCTCAGGCACCAAGGACGGGTGGGGCTCTGGCAGCGAGGCCCGGATGGGTCGTACCCTGGCTCCCCCGGCCCCCAGGGGACGTGGCTGTCAGCGGGGATCAACCCGGGGGCGGCTGGCCCCTTGGCACACAGAGCAGACTGCCAGTGGCCCCGGGCTGGCAGCAGTAGTAGAGCTGTTATCCCACCTTGGAAAGGGAGCAGGCCTGTGCCAGGAGGAGGGGAGCTCGGCCTCGCCCCACTCCGCCCCTCCTCGGAGACAGGGGCCCTCGAAACCTGCCCAGAACCCAGGAGTCCGGGCTCCTCCCACGGAACCCAGGAGTCCGGGCTCCTCCCACAGAACCAAGGAACCCAGGAGTCCGGGCTCCCCCGCCTCCCACGGAACCCAGGAGTCCGGGCTCCTCCCACAGAACCAAGGAACCCAGGAGTCCGGGCTCCTCCCACGGAACCCAGGAGTCCGGGCGAGTGGGGGGAGGGGGCTGCTCCATCGACCTTCCGGCCGGCCCGTCTCGCTGGTTCCGGTCCTCCGGCCCCGCCCGCCCCGCCCGGGCCCCGCCGCCGACACCCGCGGCCCCCGGCCCCGACCGCTGCGCTGCCACCTCGGGGTGAGTCCGCCTCCCCCCCCCGGACCCCCCAGTACCCCGGGCCCCGCCTCCCCACAGCCCCCCCGCG